AAGTTTCTAGAGGCCCATGTAAGGCATCTAGCTAGAGCTCACTCAGATCACCACCCTATTATGCTAGAATTAGACAAGGAAAAACTTGCAAGGAGGAAGAATGTGTTTAGGATGGAAATGGCCTAGCTAACGCATGGGGGATTTTGGGATGAGGTTAGGAAAGCTTGGAATGGGGCAAAACAATTTCAAGGGACAGTTTTCAATGTTTAGGAGAATATTCAAACATGGAATAGGGGAGTTTTTTGGTAATATAATCAAAAGGAAAAGAAGGTGTATTGCCCGATTGAAAGGAGTACAGAGAGAGTTGGCGTAAGGATATAGTAGAGCCATAGAGAAATTGGAGAACAAATTGATAAGAGTATAATCTCATATTGGAGCAAGAGGAGTTATTCTGGTATCAAAAAGCCAGGACTAATTGGACTTTGTATGGGGAGAGAAACACAAAATATTTTCATACCACAGCAATTGTTAGAAGGAGAAAGAATACAGTAGCATGTCTAAAAGATGAGTTTGGAAAGTAGCAGGCAGATAGTGAGACTCTAAAACAAATGGTGGTTCAATTCTGTACTACTTTATACACAGGAGAAGGAGTTAAAAGAAAGGCAAATCCATGCACTCAGCAATTCCCAAGAATAGACAAGAAAAGGATGGAGCTAGTGGGAACAAAGGTGGGTCCTGATGAAGTGAAAGAGGCAGTGTTCAGTATGGGGAAGTCAAAGGCGCCGGGGCCAGACGGTATAAATGTGTTTTTCTCCCAGAAAGGTTGGGGGATAGTGGGAAAGTCAGTGGTTAGGTTCGTGAAGCAAGTGCTTATGGAAAGAAGAGTACCTGAGGGCATTAATGGTACACTTATAACACTAAAACCTAAAGTGAAGTCTCCGGAAAAAATTTATCAGTTTAGGCCTATTTCTTTGTGTAATGTAACATACAAATTCATAACAAAAGTGCTTGTTTAGATAATAAGACAACTTATAGGGAAGCTAATAGGTCCAGCGTAAGGGAGCTTTATACCTGACAGGCAAACTGGAGACAACATCACTATAGTTAGGAGATCCTCTACACAACAAGAAGACTAAGAGGACGAAAGGGAATAATGGTGGTAAAAGTGGATCTTGAGAAGGCGTACGATCGAATTAAATGGGATTTTCTGGAAGATACTTTGTAGAGGGCAGGGCCTCCCCCAAATATCATCCATCTGATAATGAGCTGTGTGAGAGTGCCCAAAATCGAGGTGCTATAGAATGGGAAAAGGACAAAGGCCATCCAACCTACTCAGGGTCTGAGGCAAGGGGATCCATTATCCCCATATTTGTTTGTATTATGCATGGAAAGGCTCTGTCATTAGATTGAGGAGGCAATAGAGAAAGGGAGCTGGAAACCAGTCAAGGCATCAAGATCTGGACCTAAAATCTCCCATCTATTGTTTGCTGACGACTTATTATTATTTGTAGAAGCCTCAATAAAACAAGCAGTTGTGGTGGAAAGGATAATGAGGATCTTCTGTGAGATATCAGGCCAAAAAGTGAACGCCGCTAAATCGAAATTGTTCTGCTTTGAGAATGTACCAAGAAGTGAGGCGCGAAAGATTAGTTAGACCACAGGGGTGCCATGGACCAAGAATCTAGGGAAGTACCTTGGAGTCCCAATCATTCATGGGAGAATTAAGAAGGATACATATTCTGAGCTATTGGACAATGTGCACGAGATCTAGAAATTGTTGGATGGAAGAGTAAGTGTTTGTCATGTGCTGCAAGACTAGTGTTGGCTAATGTTGTACTAACTGCCATCCCAAATTATCTAATGCAAACAGCAGTAGTACCACTAGCGGTGGTGGAGGAAACAAAAAAAATGTGTAAGGAGATTCCTATGGGGAGACAATGAAGGAAAAAAGAAAATGCATCATGTTGGATAGGGAACGGTGACGAAATGGAAAAGGGATGGTGGTCTAGGTATAAGGAGTCTGGAGAAGATGAACAGAGCTTTGCTGGAGAAATTGAACTGGAGGTATCGGACCAATCTAGAGGAACTTTGGAGTAGAGTACTCAAGAGTAAGTACCAATTGGGCCAGGAGGAAGTCAACATTCAGATGGCATACAAGCAGGGTGCATCAAGGATCTGGAAGGACCAGTGTATGGGAAATGAAGTTATAAGTAAAAGGATAAAATGGAGAATTGGAAATGGGGAGAGTATTAAGTTCTGGGAGGACAAATGGTTAGAAGATGTCAGTCTAGTAGAAGTTGCATAGATATTGATACCTGAGGAGGAGAAAGAGAAGAAGGTAATAGATTACTGGGTAGATGATGAAGGATGGAATTTAGGGAAGTTAAGACAAATACTGCCTGAGGAATACTTGAAGAAACTAAATCCCCTTTGTATAGTTCCAGGAAACAACCGGATATAATGTCTTGGAGTCTAGATAATAGAGGGTGTTTTACAACTTCATCAGCCTACAGTCTAGTACGCCATACGGAAGAATAGGAGCACCAAGAGGATAAAGGGTGGACAAATGTTTGGAAACAGAAGGGGCTAGGTCGTTGGCAGTTTCTACTTTGGTTAGCAAGGCATGGAAGATTACTTACTAATGAAGAGAAATGGAGAAGACATCTTCATCGTGATGGCGCATGTCCAATATGCTAGAATCAGAAAGAGGACATCTTGCATGCATTGCAAGACTGTCAATGGGTCCAAAATTCATGGAGAAGTATAGTAGATGAGGACAAATAGGAAACTTTTGTATCTCTGCCATTGGTAAAATGGATAGATTGGAACCTCAAGTCCAAAACTGTGGGAAGAAGGGAAGATATTTGCTAGCAAGTTGCATTTTAACATATAGTGTATTATGCCTGGTCAGCGAATAAAGTCAATGCAGAAGGAGATTACCAACAACTTGAATGCCATGGAATAAGCTAATGAACATGATCAAGGAGGAACAAGAGGTACTCAAGATAGGGAGAAACAGGAACTCATTTGAATAGAGAGGAATATGTTGGGAGAAACCAATGACAGGATGGATAAAGGTGAATATTGATGTGCATCCACCGGTCGATCTGGAGTTGCAGGAGCAGGAGATGTCATTAGGGATGAAACGGGGGTGTGGAAGCAGGGCTTTTGCATCAACTTGGGAATTGCAAGCAACATAATTGCTGAGTTATGAGGCATTGTCTGAGGGATGGAATTGGCCTGGGAAGAACGGATAAGCTGTGTGCACGTGGAAACTGACTCCCTTACAAGTGTGATGCTAGTTAAAGAGGACTGCAAAAAAGGGCTACATTCAAACTTAGTCAGGAAAATTATAGAGTTATTGAATAGAAGTTGGGAGTGTAAACTGACACACACATGAAGAGAAGGAACTAGAGTTGCAGATTATCTGGCCAAGTGCAGTCTTGAGGGGGAGATGAGGTTTACAATTTTGCAGGACCCACCTGATGGGGTTAGGAATATTTTGGCAAAGGACATTGTCGAGGTAGTTACCCTGAGACTTGTCCTAAGCTAATGGGCTGCCAGCCCTCCATTGTACGGAAAACAGAAAAGAAAAGAAAAGAAATCTCTATTGAGAAGAGGATGGTTAACAACAAAATTGTTTTCTTGTTTCATAACAAAAAAAAAAAAAAAAAGAAATACAGTTATGAGCTTCAAACTGCTGCAAATTCTCTTGCAAACCCTTCAAAAAAGGCATTACTCTTTTTTTTTTTGGTTACAAGAATGAATGCGTAAGGATTATTTCGTATAGATTTTCAATCAATCCATTGAAAATATTAGTTGCTTAATGCTCAAATGATTGTAAGATATATTGAGTTGATTACTCAATCATCCATTGTGAATATGAGCTACTTAGTACTCGACTTGTTCGAAGATAAATCGGTTTAATTATAATTGAGTTTGAGTTCAAGTTCAAACAATAAAGTAAGGAGTGCAATACGAAGCATGAAGCCAACTGAACATTTATTGTTTGATAAACATGTATTCAAGTGCACTTATGCCCACTTGTACAACGTTTAAGAATTATTAAGAACACCTAATATTTAATTTCTAACAAAAAAAAAAGTGAACAAGATATATGCATGGACAGATTAAGCAATCAAAATTTTGCAAGCATAAAAGATTACATGTTACTTATATAGCATCCCGAAATAATTTTTGCAGATAAGAATGCATGAAAAGCAATCAAAACATGTAAATCTAATTGGAATCACAAGCAATATAAGTTGATCCAAACGTTCATGCTTGCAATCACTAGAGTATTTAAAACTTTTCATCAAGTCAGGGAAAGTTCAAAGTGAAAATTACACGAGGAAGTTTAAGCCGAACTTGAGCTTGATTACTTAATTTCAACTGTGATTAATTTAGTATTAGACAAATTTTGGCTCCAAGGACCCTGAAAAAAAAAATTCCTAGGTCTAGTTACTTCACAAAGAAACACACCTTGGAACAATTTTGCTTCTTGTCATTAAGGAAGAAAAGAAGAGAAATGGAAATTTGGGTTCTTCAAGATTGAAGACAGCAATGATAACTTCACGCATGAAAGATTGAAGAAGAAGAAACATGACATTTGCTAAGAAACCTCGTTATCTTCCTAAACTCCAAGACAAGATTTTACTATAATACCAAACCACAGCTTTTTTTTCCCTTCTTTTTCTCTTCCAAACTACCAAACTAGGCGTTGATTTCAACTGCAATGTTTCACCCCAAGTGATAGACATAGAAATAAAATATTAAGATTGCTAAACTGTAAGAAACTCGTAACAGTACTGAGTACTCAGTTTGGTTATGGCCACAAGCGAATTTACACAATATCAACCTTGGGGATAACAGAGCCAACATCCTTCTTTTCCTCTCCTCTTACTGTAGAAAACAACACTGCATTTACTCATTTCAAACCTTTTTTATTGTAGGCCCTGCCCCGCAGCGCCCGGGAAGGGGGGGGGGGGGGTTGTTGTGTGTGTGTGTAGTTTGAACTGCAGTTACCATTAAAGTTGGAATACAGATGCAGGGATAGAGGGGGCACTGAGCCATTCTGAATCCAGAATGCTTGTCAAACTGACCATTAAAGAAAGAATGTGCTAGTATTCCTCAAGTATCATGCAAGTGACAAATAAAGGTTTTATCTTGCATACATTGATGTATCAATCACTTGACAAGCCAGAGAGATGGGGAAAAGAACTTTTAGAACTATTGCTTCTTGACAGGTCTACTAGCCCCTACGAGAGGAGACAGCACAAAATTGAAATGTCTCGACATCAAATAGTGTTTGCTTCACTAAGTTTTTGAGCAGCCAACATCTTTGTCAAAAAGGCCCTCAAGCTGGCAGCTCTAGTTTTACATTATTCTTCCAACTGCAGCAATTCAAAAGAAAGAGTCAAGTTATTTTCCCTGTCAAACATCAAACAAGCTTACAGGTAAATGCCTCAGCTGGAATTTCACCTTTGGAAGTAATAATAGAAGAAATCAGCGTAAAGTGCAGTCTGAACAAGCCCTGCTACCCAAGCTGCCAGGAATAAACCATCAGAAAAGTGTTAGCTTTTCATAAACAGAGAAACATAAAAACCCTACTGAAATGCAATCAAGCAAGCTATGGTTAGAGCTTGTGCTTGGACATGTTATGACAAACACAGGAAAAGAGCGAGGGAGAGAAAGAGAGACATACTTATCCAGTGGACATAGTGTGGCTCAGTGAAATAGCGGTAAATCCAGTTCAGAATGTATAAGCTTCGATAAGCTCTGAAACAGAAGAAGACCATAAGCTAGGTTTTAACCTGAACTTCAAAAAAAGATAAAATTCAAGACAACAAGTAAAATAAGAGATCAGAAAGCCTCTCACAAGGAAAAAAGAAAAAAAAAAACTCAACTTCATTTCTGTATGGCCATTTGTATAATTGCAATGCACATAAAAAGTCAGAAGCACTAGTAGTTTGACAAACATTTAGATGTATGTACTTCATTTAAGTGAAGATCATCTACACATGAATTTCTCAACAAATTTAGAGCCCCAAAAAAAATTGTGTCTTAGCAAGACCAATAGCAGCTAATCCGCTCAACCTCAATGAAACAACTGACCAGCACAAGATACACCTAAAGATATAAAGAGACAATGACAATTTTCCAGATAAAACAATAGGTACAGCTTTAACTATCATAAATGGGAATTTGAGAATGCTATATTACCCAAGAAGAAAAACATATTGCCCAGTCAGGTTGTCAATATTTCTTGTCCTTTGCAACAAGACCAGCTGAGGAAGGATGGCAACAGCTTCCAAGAATATGGAAAAGGCCCACATTACCTGAGGTCACATATCAAGCAAAATTATATAGTGACATACAGTGAAAGCGGAAGACACACACATATATGTCTAGTTACCAAGAAGAAAACATCTTCACCGGATACAAGAATTCTAACATTATCACATGTTAATGGCAAAATGGAAGCACCAATACCTCCTTAAAGTAAACTTTTCATGTATAACCAGAGCCAAAAGCAAACATGGTAGCACAAGGAAAAGATGGCGAAATGTGTCCTGATCCCTATCGTAAGATCTCCGGACAACCTTGTGATGCCTCATGTACCAGACAATTGAGAAAGAGCTTCCCAAGAATATTAACTTCATTATGGTATTGTATAGGGAGATATAGTCTGTAAATATGTCCAAGTAACGAGTAGCAAAGACAATAGCATAGAGCTCTTGGGTCTTCAAAGAAATGCCTGCACATTTTGTAGGATGGCAACAATCAGCAAATATATGATAAGGGAACCAGAAGAAGCATGATAATAACAAACTGCAGCATAAAATGCAGAGTTGCAAATGCCTTGTGGAATGTAGCAGGCATGTAGATCCAGTTCCAAATTCCAACAAGACATGTTCCATGCAACGGGCTTAAATTGACTTTTCGACACAACGATACTTTCCTTGTGTAAAAAAAGAACACATGCATATCTTGTTCATGGAAAAATTAAAGTTTTGACTTTACTGTCAACTTAAAGAGCGAAAAATTCATCTGAAGCAATAATGGAATTCTTGATAGTCTCAGGTATCTCACGTTTACCTCTCTAAACAATAATGGATTCATGAGAAGTACATTTGTCCTAACCACATAGTAAATTCCTTCTGCACACAGTTTATCTTTTGCTTCTTGGCATGATTGGACCTCTCTGACAACAGAGAACAAAAATCAATATTCCATATCACACTCCAATTAAATTCTAACTCATATATAGTACATCCGAACTGATCTCATCTCTGGCATGCAATGTTTCCTTAAAAATCTACCTAACTTTTTAGAATACCAAAGGAAGAAGAGAACGAAAAACTGGAAATGAGGGAATAAAGAGATAGCAGTCACTGTATCCAATTCACAGCTTTCAAAGGATCGAAACTTGCTTTATACTGTACAGTACATATCTTTCTGATAAAATGTAGACATTACTCTAGGTAACAATTTACAACATATTTTTTTGTCATTCTACCAACTCTTTTCTGTGGCATTTTACCAGCTCTTTAACACTATGTCTATGAAACGCATTGTAAAGAATGATAAACTTAACTATCAAGCAAAGTAATCCTCTGTGCATTACAAAAACAACAATTGTGCTTGTTTTAGTTCCTCAAAAGCCACTTTCTTTCCAGGCCCTATTTGAGGCAGCTAAGTGAAGGCCAAGCAGAAAATGGAACCTCATGACTTATACATTTCAGAAGGGACGCATTCCTGAACAAGCATATAATCCAAAAGGCAAATTGAATTCAGGAGATAGAAAAATAGTGATATGAGAACTGAAGTAAAAAAAGGATTCTATGATTGGCAAATAATTGATGTAAAATGAAAAATAGGAAAACAAAAGCTAGAAAATAACTACATCCCAAAAAGTAAGATGCACCAAAAAATATGTAACTGAAAAGTTGAATGAAACATGTAAATTTTTAATCTTTCTTGACTTTTTTCAATTTCTTTTTGTGGTCTTCCTTTGCATTGGTTAATTGGGACAAGTATGTCTACAGGTGTGTGTTGGAGGTTGGAGGAGCAATCAGAACTTTTGAAGGTCAACATAGCAACAACTGAACTCGCCCCAAAAAATGATTAACATGACCCAACTGCTTGCTATATGGATTAGCAACTAGTAAAAGTACTATCAAATCGTCTTAGACCTAAAAGAAATCATTTTTACATTTAAGACCTCGGTAACATGTCAAAGTGTCTTTATTAGCTGTTCATGAATTCCAAGAGTCCCCCAGATGAATTCAATCAGCACGTTATTGCAAATATCACCAGATAAACAATTATTAGCATTTTGCACCTATCGCAGCTATTTGTAGTTCCAATGTTATTTCCAATGCATTTTCATCTAAACTCCAAAAACAATACGTTATCCTACCTTTCTTAAAACATACTTCCAGCTTAAACTCCGAAACCTTCTCAATACCCAACAAGAATACACTAACCACTACCAAGCACTGCACAAAATAACCTTAAAATCTGAGAAAAAGAAACAATCTTTACCCTCACTGACCTCAAATCACTTGATTACAAAAATCACAGCTTTTTCATCAAATCCAGCAAACTTCTTCGTGTTTAAGCTACCATCAACCACTATCTTCCCATTTAAACCAAACCCGCATAAAATATACCAAAACCCAGTTCCCAAGTTACCTCATTGCCTCAGAAATAGTTAAATCTTAACGTGAACAGCGATCTGCATATATTCATCTTTGCAATTCCCTGGCCAAATGGGTCATATCTCCCGCTAATCTGAATATATTCATCTTTGCAATTCCCTCTATTCCAGTGGCTTCTGCAACCCTGTTCTTTAGAATTGGATCAAGCAGAAATGTGCTTTTACCAACCTTGAATCTAAAACCCAAGAAAGCGATCTGCAAAGTTGCTATCTTCTCTTAAAACAGAGAGATCTCTGTCCTAAGTCGAGAAAGAAAATCTTTTCTAGTTCTGGTTAATGGTGATTATGGCGTATCCCTATTTAAGTTGAAATTTTAATGTCTTATGTTTAACTCGTAAAAATACTTAGTTGTATTTCTTTTTCTAATTGACTGGTACACGAAATACTCTATTTGTATCTGCTCTCGTATCTATTCAAAATAAATAAATTATTTGTCTTCCCTAAATTGCTCCCAAGTTTGTCAAGTTTAGGATTTCGGAAGTTCTGCCCCAAAATTACAACTTATTAAAAGATGTATGGTTGTAAAGATTTCTCAAAATACCAATTTTCAATCCCTTTACTTCTCTAAATATTGGTAATATGTTTATGGCGAAGAAGTGGAGTCCTTAACAAAATGGTTGTCTAAGTAAGGTCACCATCTATTAAATTTGTTTTAACTAATGAGCTATCCATACTTTTTTGGCTAAAAGAAAAGATTAGAGACGCTAAATCCACACTCCTTCCTCATAGATGCATATTTTGTATAGGTTTTAATTTTAATGATGTAAGTCATAATTGCTGATTTTATAAATTATGAATGTACTGAAAGTTTTAAATTTAGAATGAAGAGATATGCATTTAATGCATTTTAAAAGGTTTTTGTATATCTTAGACATATATTTGATCCCTTATGTGAATATCAAAAAGTTATCAAACAGATCCCGAATGTAAATTTAAAAAGAAATCAAATATTTCTAACCTAACAAAAAATGATTATTTCTCCTTTTCACTTAAGGGAGACTCCAAATCTTATTCAGCATAAGAGCAAAAGGAGTGGCTAAAAGTCAAATAAAGAACCTCATGCTCAATTAGCAAATATTCTTACTAGCTGAATTGAGTGATAGAAATAACGATTAATTGATGAACGTTAAAGAACACAAAAGAAATGGGAGAAGTTTATAAAGATTGGAAGAGTAAAGCTAATTTTAGGAGACTCTAAAACATTGGGACTGTATTTGAAATTGAAATTTCTGCTTTGCTGCATCTTCTTTCCCTTAAAATGTTGTAATTTCCACGTGGGGTATGTATTTACGACCTATGAAGCTACTTTTGCGTGTCGTGTCCAATGGGATCACAATTCATTGCAAGACTAGTACTGCTTCATTTTCAGGCAAGAAATAAGAGGATTTGAACCAGCCGCCAAGCCTATTGATTCACGGAAGCTCAAGGCTTAAGGACTATTATCTTTGTCTTTGATTACTATTTGCAAAACTAACGCTGCATTTGATAAAATTTAAAATTTATTGAATTATTAGATTTTAAAATATTAATATTTGAATATATTTTGTATTAAGTGATAAGTGAATAATTTATTATTTATTTTTATAAGCAAGTTTTTATTGATAAAATTTAATGTCATTTAATTAATTTAAATGTTCTATTTTTAGTTATCAAATGCCTTTAAATATATGAAGATGTGAATCTATTAAATTTAAATATCAAATTAAGTTATCAAACAGGGCCCAAGAAACACAGGTGGATTAAAGAAGCATTCAGGCTTAACTATGTGACCTTTTTCTAATCTGCAAAATTCCTCTAACTTTTGCTAACTTTTTCTTCCCCCAAAGATCAATAGTGATTTCTGCGTGCCCTAACTCTTTTTAGGTTATACTAGAAGTTCTAAAGTTTAGCCAAATGATTGCAAGACAATTTTTTTATATTTTGCAACTTTACTTTATATGACTGTCAAGCTGGAGTTAACAGTCCAATTTTATACACAGATGCTGCAGATTTTATTTCACGGATAACTTTAGATAACTGACACAGCTTTGAACAAAAATCACGCATCTTGTGCAAAAAAATCTTTAATCTATTGAAATTTTATAAATTGTATTAGCAGGATTCTATAACCTCAAAATGAACATCAAACAAGTTGTGTTATTTTAACAGTTTGAGAGCTATATTAACTATATCTAACAACTCTTTACCTTTTTTTTATATATATTTCCCTCCTGATGTGACATCTATGTGCTGAAAATATTTTTTATAAATATTGGGATCGAATTTCTATAAGGATTTTCTAACAGATGATGAGCACTTATTAATACTACTGTTAAAAGCATATCTAATGTGTGTGTAGTTTAGAAATAATTATTAATTTTTATGAGTATATTAATTTTTTACAAAATTAAATTTTATATAAATTCTTCATGAAAGTATTGTGATTTATTAGTGATTTTTCTTTAATACAGTTATAGTTAATTTAATAGTTACAATATTTAAGGAGTTGTGAGGGATTATATTAGCAAATGTGATCAAGTGGTTAGAATAAAAATTAATTTTTTTAAGGAAAAATTAAAAGTTCAAAAATGACATGGAGTATCTACCCATTATTGTATAGACATTTATATATTTAAATTTTATTTAATTTATCATGAATATATATACACACACACACATCTATTTTTCTATTTTCTATTTCTACCTTGTATATAAAAGAAAGTCAAGTTACTGTAGCTAACCATTTTTTTGACACATGTATTGTATATATTTTTTACAAGTGGACCTTTGATTATTTTACCAGAATTTTTCCTTCCCTTTTTTTGACTCAATTGGGTTAAAGGATTAAAATATTTTTTCTCCTTGAGAAAATCAACTCCATCTCTTCTTTTTCTTCTTTCAGTAACTACTGTCATCCCTCACCTTTTTTATTTTTTATTTTTTATTTTTTTAAAACTAATCTAACTAAGATTGTTGCCATGTTCTTTTTTTTTTTTTTGTCAAGATGATAACTACTTAGCAAAAAGAATTCTTTATTATTTTTTATCCCATTTTACATTTTCTTTTCTTCCTTTTTTCTTCATCTCTAACCTCGCATGTTTGCTCTATTTTTTTTTATCATAATGTTATAGCCAACTAGCATTTGTTTGTTAAATTTATAGGATGATGTTTTATTTGGTAGTTCTTCATGGATAAAAGGTGAAATTTTAAAATATGTAAAAAAAAATTTAGAATTCATTTTATACAAATGATCATTTTCTATGAATAATAGAACAAAAATTCATTCTTTTATTTTCTTCTCCTATGATTTGATTTCTTACTTCACATTTTGTTTCCTTTTCTTTGTTTTTGGTTACATTTTGTAATTATCTACAATTTTGTGTATTTGTTTAGAAGAAAGATATATCATGTGATATTTTCACCAAGATAAATCTAGCTAGGCATTCTTGTACCTCCGTTTTTCGCCATTTCTTTCTTTTTGCAATTACTTTATGGTCTATTAAATTTAATTGAAGGATCCAATAAGATTTTGTATATATTTAAACTAAAGTTAATTTTTGTTTGTTTTTTAATTACTCAAGTGTTGTAGTATGAATTGGGTTGGTATACAAGGATTGCAGTCGGTGGTGGAAGTCACAATTGAGGCTTTCGGCCTAGAGTGTGACTTGACAAAAAATTGTTAGAAATTTCAATTTTGATTAGGAAGATGTTTTTGCAATAAAAAAAATAGTTCAATTCTAATTTGTATATGTAGACCAGGAAACATGGCAATTCATATTTTTATCTAACTTTGCTATTTATATTCAGGAGCTGCAGGATAATGTTGTCACCTTTAGCAGAATTTAAATAGATGAACTGGATTCTTCTATCAGAAGAAAGAAAAATATGAAAGTTTATAGTAAGTTATATTGATGTTAAAGATTGTGCTATGTTTTAGTAGTTTTTTAAACTTTTTCTCATTATTAAAGTACTAAAAGTATTACGACTGCTTTTGATTTAGTTTTAACTAAAACTATACTACTATTAATACACCAAAGCACTTATAGTGTATTAAGTTTCTCTCCTTTTTGGATATCATCATCATAGTGGTTCAAAAATCTTTATTCAAATCACAATAAATAGAGAGGTTGACTTCATAGATGGAATTTCTCTTCACAACAAATTTTGAGAGAAATTTTATTTATACTCCATATTGTGTTAATTGTGTTCCTACAATAAACAAAAACTATACGATAAAAATAATAACGAAAGTATGATTAACAAAAATGAGAGTTCAAATAATATTTGTCAAATTTAATTGCTTTAATGCTCAAAAATTTCTCCTATATTTCTATTCATTCATCATGTGTCAAAATAATTTGATGCTATGCATTCGACCGGCTGTGGGCATTTTGGTCATTTTACACAGCGCATAACTTTGATTGCACATAGCGTAACTTTGTTTGCACAACGTGTAACTTTAGTATAAAAATTTACGGGCCTCACACACGTTGTGAAAATTGATATACAACTTGTAATCTGGACCGCACATTTTTTTGGCCAAAATTTGGCCGTTGACTGTTCAGGTCCCTGCCCCTTATCCGCATTCGACTAAATTTCTAGGGGCCCAAACTGTGCTTTGCACAGTTCAAATACCTCTAGTCTATTTTATAAGAAGAAAGTAGAGTTATTGTAGCAACCTCAATGAATGCCAAGTGGTTCCCCTTCATTTTGACACATTACACATTTTTCTTTTGAGGAAGCTATCTTCATTTTTTTTTTTTCTTTTTTCTGTTTTTTTCTGTTCACCTTATTTCCTTTCTCCTTCCTGCTTAAAGACAACTAAAACATCCTCATCTACATTGTAGCTTCCTCATTTATTTTCCACTATGTACTCCCTTCTTTTTTTTTTTTTTTTTGCTTTTCATTCTAATCATTTACTCTACTTTTTTCCTCTATTGGATTAGTTAATGCATTTTCTTTCATTTTTATCCATAATGAACTAACTAAATGGTTTTGTTTCAGGAAGTCAAGGATGGTTTGATATTTTCTTTCTTGCTTAGTCTGCTAATCATGATTCATGATCTTCTACTCTTACCATCTTTCTCTGGTATGTAGTAATATTTTTTTTTTGTCATTTTTTTCCTCCTGATTAGAAACCT